TCCTGCTCTATCGTTACACAACCGGGCAGCTGAAAGAGCGTTATTTACATGCCCTCGCTCCACACTCTTGCTGGCTTCAGCAATGTCAATTCACTTGCAGCAAGCTAAGATAAGAATTCTGCCTTTAGGGGAAAGGAGCTTTCTCGTAAGCAGAACTGTGTCTTGGAGCCCTATTTCACTGACAGCCCTAATGAATTTCCAATGCATCTTTCGCTCTAAGCTGCTGTTTCCTTCTTTACAGCTCTGCCTCTAAAAATAAAGTAAGAGCACTCTCCAAAGAGGGCCCCAAGCCTACACAAGGGCCCTACAAGCCCCAAAATCACAGTGAGGTAGCGCATGATGGGGGACCTCATCTGTCAGACATCTGTCAAGATTGTCCCCACTCCTCTCCGCTGATGAGGAGCTACAGCTTATTTCTCGTCACCTTCCCGTCTGTCTCCAGGAGCAGGCGGCTCGCAGGATCCCTTGAGCTGGCTGTGCCAGAGGCAAGGGCGAGCCCCATGGGACTCTCAGCCTTCAGAGAATGGCCCCAAATTGCGAATCCCTTGCACCTGCAGCCACCAAGGCTTCGCCAGGGCAGTGCCTGGGCACGGGCAGACCCCATCTCTCCTCTGCTTTAGGCAAAAGGTCAGAAGGGTAGGAATTAGGATTCCAAAATCCCCTTTTCCACTTGCTGTCTAAGCAGTTGACCAAACATTAAAGCACCTGAGCAGACACCTAGCTTCCCAGCAGCAGAGGAGAAAGACTCAAGTTCAGGCACTTACTTTTTCTTGTCTTTGTCCTTCTTCAGCGGCTGCTGTGAGGTAGCCTGCAAGGATTGGGACTGCAAGGTTTCCACCGCTACTTTCCGCCTGTTGAAGGCGTTCATCTCTTCCTCCAGCTCCCTCCTCTTTTCCTCCACCTTCCTCTTCTCTTCCTGGTGTATCCTTTTTAAGTGCTCAAATTTCTCATGCAGCTGGTAGGAGACAGACCCTCTGAGCATGGCATCCAGCACGACCGTCAGGCTGCACTCCCCCCGGAGCCACGGTCGCACCTCCCGCACAAATCCCCACCGCCCCAGGGACCGACCCGCTGGCAGGGCACAGCAGCCAGCACCCCTGCACCGTGCAAGCCCCTCAGCAAGAGCTGACCTCCGGGCGATCACAGCCTCTTCCCCAAAAGCAGCAAAAAACGGTAAATTCAGCTCTGCCTGATGCCACATATCAAACAGGAGAAAGCGTCAGCCCTGGATAAGCACGCTGAGGATCTCAGCTCAGTCTGCAGCCCTGCCGTGGGGCTGCGGGCATTGCAGGCTCTTTCGTTCCTCGCTAGTTTTGAAGATGGTCCACATTTATTTCCTCCCCAGTCACGGCAGCTGCCCGTGGCCTCACACCGAGCCGGGGTCTCCAGCCCAGCTGCCCCCTTTACTCTGCTGTCCAGCGAGCCTCCAGGGTGAAGGCTACCTGACCTGGATGCCCACCAAAACGTCCTGCATTGTCCCTCACTCATCACATGGCAGCCAAGTCTTCTACACACTGCACAGGATGGGGAATACTCTTGTTTCTGAGGAACCTAAACCAGTGAAGCTGTTTTGAAAACATTACCCCGCATTCCCTTCTCCAAGTGGGGGAAGGTGTGCGTGCATGTGTTTGTGCTTTGGCTGGTGAGGTCTGCTCAAGAGCTGCATGTGCTTTCCAGGATTCATACATTGCCCAGACCCATGCTGGCTGTATTTTGGGCTCCTCTCACAGGTTTTTGGCACACCCACCTCTCTCTCCTTCTCCTTCAGCTCTGCCTCCGTCTCCTTGACTTTGTTAACAAACATTTGTCTCATTTCTTCCTCTTTCTTCTGGAGCTCACCCAAGAACTCTTTCCTTTTGGTCTCGTATGTTTCTTGGAGGCTGGGGAAGAAAGCAAACGAAATCCAGACTCCTTGGACACCAATGAGTTAGGGATGGGGAAATGCACGCCTGTCTGCATTGCTTAAAGACAAACAGGCAGGGAAGGGAATGCCAAAGTCAGCCGCAAAGTTCAAACCCAGTGCTAGTATTTTCCAGCCCAGCACTGTGGATACCACCTACAAAGCTCCCATTTTTTGGGGGTGTCAGTACCAAACTACTGCTCTAAATTGATGCTAGATGCGAAGGCCACTCACCTGAAGGGCTGGCTGTCTGGATCCGTGTCCTTGAAGCCCATCTCCTCCAGTTTGCACCTCCTGTACAGCTCATAGTGGCGGGTGTGAGTCTGCTCCCGAAGATCCTCCATGTTGACTCGAATCAGCATTTCCCGCAGTTTCACAAAGTCACAGTGACTTTCATTCTCAACTGATGGAAACAAAGAGAGAAGTCAAGCAAACTGCACACACGGCGGGGGAGCACAAATGCAGATACAGATTAACTCCAGAGACTCCCCTCCCAAGGACCCCTGCCTGCTGTCCCACACAGGGCACAACACAGCCCCTTGGATGCAGGGATTCCTGTGGACCATTACTACCTGCCGGTAGGAATGGGAAATCAAAGGAAAGATTGGCCAACCCACAACAGGCTGCACAGGACATTTCTGCACCGTTTAGCACGGGGCAGCTTCACGCACACAGAGCTGGAGAGGGTGCCAGCGTGCACACGTGCGCGCACGAGGGAGGTTTGCGGGGGCTGCCCGGCTCGCAGCACCTTACCTTGCACCACTCCCCACGGGTACTGCCGAGCTCTCACCAGCTTGTTCCCAACTTTCACCTCCTCCGTGCTGCCAACCACAGCGAAGGGCAGATGAGCCTGAAACAGAGCCAAGGCCGGGGACTCAGCGCATGGGCTAACCCCTCGGAGAACAGCCTGACCATTAGATTCCCCCTCATGCAGGCACAGGATCTACTTCAAAAAGCCCCTCCCCTGAAACTATCAATCTCCAATACTCAGAGCAGTCTCTACTATGAGCTGTGTCCAGTTTTGGGCCCCTCACTACAAGAAGGACATGGGGGTGCTGGAGTGATTCCAGAGAAGGGCAGCGGAGCTGGGGAAGGGTCTGGAGCACAGGGCTGGTGGGGAGCGGCTGAGGGAGCTGGGGGTGTTCAGCCTGGAGAAGAGGAGGCTGAGGGGAGACCTGATCGCTCTGCAGCTCCTGACAGGAGCAGGTAGGTGAGGGGGCTGTTGGTCTCTTGTCCCAAGTAGTTAGTGATAGGATGAGAGTAAATGGGCTCAAGCTGCACCAGGGGAGGTTTAGATTGGATATTAGGAAAAATTTCTTCATGGAAGGGGTGGTCAAGCATTGGAACAGGCTGCCCAGAGAGGTGGTGGAGTCCCCATCCCTGGAAGCGTTCAAAAAATGGGCAGACGTGGCACTTTGGGACATGGTTTAGTCTAGTCCACCCTTAATTGGTTTAGTGGTGGACTTGGTAATGTTAGGTTAATGGTTGGACTGGATGATCTTAAAGGTCTTTTCCAACCTAAACGATTCAATGATTCTATGGGATATTATGACAGAGAGCGGTGTAGGGCCATAGCACAGCTTACTAGCAACGCTGGCTGGACTGAACTAGCTGGGGAAATATTGTGGGAACACCATGATCGTTACTGATCTCCCTCTACCCATTTGTCAGCTTGCTCTTGCAGCTGTAGTCCCGCCACACGCCAAGAGCGGGGCACTCCCTGCCTTGCGGAAAGCACCAAGACATCCGTAAGCAGGCCTTGGCGCAGCAGTTTGTGCGTGGCACTGGAAGGGACACGTGCGGGATACAACATGTGCTCGCCGCTCTCCAAGTCTGCAAAGCATCGAGCGCAGTAAGGAAGCAGAGCACCGTCCTCAAGCATCGCAGGGGAGGAGCCGCAGAGCGGGTGCTTCAGTAGCATGAGGGTGACAAAATCCTTCACATTTCGGAGGAAACGGACCCAGAAGTGTGGAATTGGTAGAGAAGCAGCCAACAATATTTTCATTGCAGGGGGGAGGGAGAAAAAGAAAAACCAAGCAAGCATGGCTCCCGATTTTGTCCCCAATGCACACAGCTTGCAATTATTTTTAAAAGAGTGCATCCTCCAAATTTCTCTTGAATTCAGTGAAAAAGCACTATTACAGTGAAAACACATATCCAGCTGAGCCAGAAATCAACTGGGTATTGAAAGTTTAAAAAAAACAAAACAAAACAAAAGGGTGTGTCTGTGCATGTAATCAGAAACAGCTATGCAGGAAAACGGTCATTTTAATGAAAAAGCTACTTTTTATTTAAAAAATTAACATGGAAACATTTCAGCCGTTTCTACTGCAATAGCTACACTCTGATATGGGAGACAGGAAACTCGAAAGTGATTCGCACATGCTTCAGCCAGGTCTGAATTTAATCTTTGAATTTCAAAAACGGCAAAATAGAGTCTAACACTTTTTATTCTTTATTTTAAATTGGGTTTTCTCTGCTTAGCCTCCTTAAGTCAGAAGGCTAATACAAATATTAACTGTAAAATTTTTATTCAAAGTTTCTCCCTCCTCAAATGAAACGTAGCCTAAAAGCAGACAGAATGAATTTTGAAGAAAGTATTTTTCAAAAATTCTATAAAACAAGTTTTAGAGCTGAGCTGAGTTTCTCCAGAGAGCCCACACGTTTTAATTAATTCTGTATGCAACAGCCTTAGGCGTCTGTCCACAGCTCAACTTTCAAACAGATTTAGCGTCTGGACAATCCCAATGAAACTTTCCCTCCAAATGCATTTTTGCACAGTAAATTCATTTGTCACAACTTCTGGAGGCAACGCGATTGGCGGCGCTACTCACATTCATCACGGAGTTGATCTCGGCGACCGCTTCGTCATCTGTGGGGAACTGATAGATCTGCACACCGTTGCTGACCAGCTCGCTCATTATCTTTATCTTGAACTTGTGCAACTCGCTCTTGGAGATGGTGTCTGCTTTGGCAATAATCGGGATGATGTTCACCTACAGCAGAAGGAAGGAAGGAAAAATAACCAGGTGCGCAGCATTCGGGGCAAGCGGCTTTGTCAGGAGCGTGGGTGCCCGCGGGTGGCCCGGGTCCCACCCTGGTGGCTGCTTTACATTTCATCAAACCACAAAGGTGCTACGTTTTGCATGCGAGCTGCGGCATAAGCCCAGCTGAACACTAGAGGGAAGAGTTTTCCAGGACTAATGTGGCTACAGGACTTCCAGATAAACCAAAAGACAAACACCCTGCAATAAATACCAAAGGAGCAGATCAAAGCCTCTGCTTTTGCCTATGTATTTTGTTCCACTCTTCGAGGGAGGCAAAGACAGCAGAACTGTCACATCTTGAGCTATCGCCTATCCACTTCTGGCTGTGCTGACAAGCTGCTTTAGAAGACAAAGCGCAAGGATGAAACGCTGCAGCGAGCTGATGTGGAGCCTTCCCATGCTTAAGCAGAAAGAGCAGGGACTCCTCTCAGATGCTTTCACAGCAGCTCTGGATCCTTCCCGAGGATTCCCTGAGCCTCCCAGTGAGGATCACAACTCAGGCATGCTGTGCAGATTACAGGGACCACCTGGGAAAGGAGCAGGGTGCCATACAGCAGACAGGAGATTTGTTTTCATGCTGTTGTTGCTCAGCTTTGGTTTTGCATCAGCGGCCACCAAGCACAACACCCCACACAGCTTCATCAGCCCAGGTTTGGAAAGCTACCCACAAGCTGTAGCGTAGGGAGGTCCCCTGTGTCTAGCACATACCAGGATTGAAAGCAAACGAGGGCCACGTCCCCCATCCTTCAGGAGGGATGTGGTTCACCATGGCCTCATGCTTGGGAGAGCTACAGCAGGGCAGGATCTCTCGCAGGAGCCTCTGTTAGGTAATGCTGTTACACCCAGAAAAGCCAAGTGCAATACTGCAAAGCACTGCTTAAACAACAATGAAACTCGTCTGTCTGAACAGCAGCCAAATTCATAGCAGTAAAACCAAAGAATCCAGACAAAAGAGGGGAGAGTCTGATTTGCCATCTAACATTTCCCAGGAGCCAACGCTTTCTGTCCTACAGAACAGAAATTCCTAACAGCCATTTGGTCTCCAGTGGGTGCCCATTAAAATAAATGACCTTGCTTTCCCAGCTCAAGTTCTCTTTGTAGCTGGTTTTTTCCATATGTCCTGTTTTTTCTCCCCCCTCTGGTTTAGCACTCACTAAATACAAGAGCATTTACTTGCTCCAAAAGAAAATCATTGCAAAATCATTTGCTCATTGCAAATTTATCTGAGAGGATAAATTCTTTATTTTTCCCAGCCACTGATCCGGCCTCTTTTACCAAGGACCACAAACACCCACACAGAACAAGGTCTGCTGGTCTCACTCTGCTCATTACAGCGGGTCAATGTCCTCATTACAAAGGTAAAAAAGGCCATGACCGCAGCTGGGTGTCTCACTGACCTGCTAAGAGCTGAGCAGGCTTGGATCCACCATCTCACACAGAAAAAGGGTCAGCTCAGAGCTTGTGTACCACCCACGCAGGAGCAGTACCTGTGACGGGGAAGGCACTGCCGGGGAGCTGCTGCATGCAGGGCTTCGCACTCTCCAGCCAGCCAGACGCGCTGACAAAGCGGCGCAAGAGGTGATTTTAGTCCATTTGCAGTTGGCCTAAGCAATTCCCCTCTCTTCTTCCAAAAAGCACCAGCTCAGCCCTGCTTACAGCGAGGCAGGAGGTGCAGAGCCTGGGGCTCGGCACGGCTTCCCCAGCAGCAGCAGAAGGCGGGCTGCTGCCCCAGCAGTACTCAAAGAAGGGGCAAACCGAGGTTGGTTCAAGTCCCATCCAACCAGGTTCCTCACACTTTGAAAAAGCAACTCGGTCAGCACCTGCTGTCGCAGAGTTCAAAACCCAAAAGGGTTTTACAAGTTGCCGCATTTCCAGTAATCGATAGCCAACGTCAATACTGTGGAGCCCTGGAAATGGCATTTGGGTGTATCTCCCTCCTCCTCTCTTCTTCCCTTGTGAGTTCCTTACTTTTTTTAAACTATTACTGTTTTTATTTTGATTTCATGCATGCCTTGGAAACATACTAGCTGGAATCCCACAGTTAACAAGTGACACCCGGAGCACCATACAATTATCTTCCTGTTTTCCTTTCTCTGATTTTGAGCATTGGCACCCAAAAGCTGTCTAAGTCTAGAATAAGCTCATCCCTTTCTAATAAGGAGAAAGGACGGAAAAGTTTGGACACAAGAAACAAAACGAGGTAAGAGATGCTACCGAACCGAACTGCATGTCTAATCCTGCCCTCCTACAGCATCTTCCACACATCCATTTCTAGGCAAAGGCTGCAGTATATGGCACAGGGATTAGTGCCAAATAAAGTGATGCACAACTAGCTAGAGAAGAACTGACCTCTCCTCTCCTCCCTGAACAGGTTTTAAAAACCCAGTAAAAGGAATTGATGCCAGAACTGTGTGAGGTTTCTCTCTCCACTCCTACTTTTACACAAACAATGTCTACCTTGGGTTGCAGGCAAAATCCCAGAGCAACATTCTTATATCTCATGGTGGAAGAGCACTATTCCCTATTTAAAGATCTCGTAATAAAATCATGAAGTTAACTACTGGAGCGTCATCCCACTGAATGTGACAGGCACGCAGCACTCCCTTGACTGTCAGTCCATGTGCTGGAAGCCTTTGCTGGAGCTGGAATTACGGCCAGAGGAAGTCTGTGCTTCAGACAAGATGGTGCACTCACATGCACACACATAAAATGCACCTCCTTCTCGAGTCATTCTGACCGCAGAGTTATTTCTCATCTCCAAAAATAAAACTTAACAAGAATGCGCTGAAATAAGTCAGTTGGTAGAAAATAATTTTGCTAATATAATAAGGCTACATGCATTTTCACCCTGTGAAATACAGCTGGATTTTTTCCCCCATCTCCAAAGTGTTCCCAAATGCAAGTCCCAGTGAAGCCAACAGGCAAATCCGACCTTGGAAACCAAACAGCAGAGGCACAAACTGGCCTGAAGTGTCCCCACCGGCCAGTGACCCGCCGAGGATGTGTCAGCTAACGAAGGGCAAGCAATTAGCCACAGCTTGCAAGTGGCACACGCTGGCTGGAAACCATCCAGGGCCAACAACCAGGGAGCCCTGGGATGCCCACGGCAGGACACAGCCGTGCTGTCACTTTCCAGGGCACGGCTGTGGTTTCAATCAATAAATCACCTTCTCATCTGATACAGATGCAGTTTTATTTATTCTCCCCCTTTTCCTGGGTTAAACCCAATGGAAAGCCAACCCCTGCCAGGTCATACGTGCTTCCCACCTACCAGCCAGCCACATTTCATCTACCTAGAACGACTTCTGAAGATGCTTCCAGCTCTCTGGCTGTAATTAAATACTCTAGACAACAGCTGGCCAGGAGCTCAGCCAAACAAACATTGTATTACAGTACAAGGGAAGATTGTGTTTACAAGCCAGCTTTACCCAGAAGGGATTTTGTAAACTTTATACTAAAAGCAAGATTCATTATCAAAATCATCACGCAGATTCAAAAGCCTGCGCAACACCTGATGCCATGCCACTGGCGGCCTCAAGCAAAGGTGTAACTGAGCCAGGTTCCTACAAAACCCTTGTTAAACTAGGCCTAAAGCAAAGGTGTAACTGAGCCAGGTTCCTACAAAACCCTTGTTAAACTAGTCTCAGAGGCTGAGCCAGCAGCAGAGCATTGCCTCTGATACACCTTTCATCTCCACGGGCTCCATTCTCCAACTGCAGAACACGGGCCACCAGCCACGTGAAGCTTCCCAAGAGGAAAGCCAGGTTCAGGTGTGCTCAGATGGCTGCAGACATGAGTCAGTGCACGTCACCTCTCTGCTCGGCCACGGAAACCACTCGCTGTCACCAGTCTGGAGCAGATAGAAAGCTGCCCAGGGTTTGCTGACACCCCCCTTCACTCTGCCCATGCACTGGTCCCCAAGCACAAATCATTCGCGTGTACTGGGAAGGGGGCACAGCACTGTCATGCACAAATCTTTAAGGAGTGCCTGGAAAGCACCTCGATGTCCTGGGATGACACCGATGCAGAAATGCAACATAAACCTCTGACAACTAGAAAATATCCATGGTCTCTACTTGCTTACTCATTTCCATGTGCCTGCTTGTGCAAGGCCACCACACCATGAAATCCAAGATGTTCTCACTCTGTGGTAAGAAGGGAGATGAGAGCAAAGGGATAAAATGACTTCAAAAAGGACTATTTAAGTGGAAGTTTAGAAATATAAAAAGCTTGCGTGCACACAAAGTTTTCATCTCCGCACAAGTACAAAGGATTTATTTTTGGTACTACCCAAGGACCACATTAAAAGGCAGCCATGGAGAGATGTGAAAAGTAGGGAATGCAGAAGGAAAGGAAGAGAAAAGCTTTGTGGGACCACCATCACCAAGGGGAATCGTGCAACAGCTTTCCTCCAAACATATTTCTGGGAGCATGTAATGCTGGCACCGCACCAAGAGACAAGAGTTTATTACGGGAAAGTTTTTGGATTCCTGATGAAGTCAGTGCAACAGCCACCACGGCTACAAACAGCCCACTGCAATGGGAAGGCAGCGCCTGCTCTGGAGCAGGGCCAAGGAAAAGCAGGCCAACAGCCCCGGGGGGCGAGGGCGAACAGCAGGGACTCCACGAGGGAGAACTGTACCCGCCAGAAAAGTCTGATAGAGCTGCACGTGGACAACAGCCAGAGAAGAGAGCATTCCCTAAATGTAATCCAGGGGATCCCCACTTACTGCCTTGCCTGCCCCCTCCGTAGACTGATCGGCATCTGCCACCTGAAAGGAACCACCTTGCTGCTAAAATACTGCTCTGAAAGCCTGGAAATTCTTGCAAAGACAAGAAGAGATGCCACTGTCATGAGTGACCTTTGAAGCCTCCTGCAGCTCCCTGGAAGCCAGCTGGAACAACCAGAAGTGTGTCAGAAACCTCCAAGCTGCAGGAATATCGGCGGTAACCAGTTAAGTAACCCACTGCCCCCTAATGCGGTAACAGTTTATGCACAGAAAAGCAACCCCCAGCTAGACCCTCTCACGACCCACTTCTAGGACTCCTATGACCTTGAGAATTTCTCACCGTATGTACATTTTCAGAAGATTCTGTGATCTCCTACACAGATCATCTGGCACTACCAGCAGTGGCAGCTCACGCACTCCCTGTGTGCCAGCACGCACAGCCACCGCTTCTCTTCAGCCCTTGCCTCCTCTGTACTGGCCACCACCTTCGGACATCTACAGTTTTGGTTGCTCTCGGCCCCTCTGTCCCTGCTGACAGGTCAGGAGAGCAGAGGTGGCTCCACAGTTCAACTGCAGGAGCTGGAACACATCCTTACCTGCACACCTGTAGAGAAGAGCTAATAAAGATGCAGCTGGTGGCTTTGATAAATATGAACTAATCTGGGTAAGATTCTTACAGTGATGGACACTCTAGACTTCACACAGCTAGCTGGAAAACAGGTTTTTTTCACCTGACATTTTTCAGGAAAGCTGGTGAGAAAAAAAAGCACAGGACCTCAGCAACCCACCAGGGCAGACTAAGTTTTACCAGTGTCCTCAAAACAGCTCAGCTAACGTGCAGGAAGGAGTCCAGCACTTACACAGAAGGAACAGAGCCTTCCACGTGACAATATTAAGCTTCACCGCTTCCAGAAAGAGGGACCATGGTCTCCAACCTCTTACCTTGCTATCCAGCTTCTTCATTGTCACCAGGTCCAAGGACTTGAGCGAGTGCCCAGTTGGAGTGATGAAGTACAGGCAGACGTGAATCCTTGTGTCATGATAGTTGAAGAGGGATCGGCGGATTTTCAGCTCTTCTTGCAAATAGTTTTCAAACTGCGTATCAATGTACTCTACTATCGGCCTGTAACTAAAACCATACCATTAGCAACACAGATACTGGAGCTCAAAATTAAACAGTTTGAAGGCTGAAGGAGTTCTCCTAGACATACCATGGTATCATTTTAAAAGTAGTTATAAGACTCAAACAGTTTAGCCTTACAACAGAAGTGTGGCATTTACACACAGACCTTATAATCCAAAGGTTGCTGGAGTCTCCTGAGGCTGCACTGCAAAGTCTAAGGACAGTGGAGCATGGAAAGATGACTACTTCCACAGATCAGACTTTGCCCAGATCTCAGGGCTGAGCCATCTGGCTGTAGCAATGCAACATGACCAAGGAGAGACCTTGGAGTCCCAGAAAGCCTTTACCTGGGGCTTGAACAAGATGTCTGTGTAATTAAATGAGACAGGTCCAGAGACACCGATCCCTGCCAGAACAGATAATTCCCAACCCTGCACTGAGGACAGCTTGTTAACTGCTCACGTTCCCAGAGGACACCACTCTCTGCTGGAAAGACCTCCTATGACCTCTCTTTTTGGCTCCTCACCCAACTCTCTCTACACTTAGTCCCCAGAACCAAAGCCACTGCAGAGAGCTGCTCTATTGACATAAACACAGACTTCTCCTCTGCAACACCGCAAGCAGGACTGCAGGCAGTTCATGTCTAAGCATCAGAGGCAAGCCCAGAAATGCCAAGCAGATGGCACGAGACCTGCCTTTCATCTTTATTTATCTGATCCCCAAATCCAACCGCATCCACAATCGTTAGCTTCAGGTGGACGTTGCTCTCCTGCAGGTCGTAGGTCCGTGGCCGCAAGCGAACCGCGCTCTCATAGTGACTGGCCTCCTCCGTCTCGAACGTGGTATTGAAGAGGGTATTCATTAGCGTGGACTTCCCAATGCCGGTCTCACCTGGAAGGAGAAATCATCAGCTCACTGCAGCATGAATTTGTCACAGGTACTTCAAAGAACATTAATTACAGAGCAGAACTAAATTATACTGCGAAAGGTTACTACAAATTGCTTGTGGACAGACACATAATTGTCACAAAGGTAACTGCATTCTCGAAGGCCTCCTGTGCTTAATGCAAAGCTAACACAGAGCACTTTGGTCTCATCTCCCCACTGAGGATCATACAGGCGAGCAAAACACACCATCTCCCCTTCCACATAGCCTGACTTTGCTCAGGATCCTGCACGAGGGAAACTAGGGATAGTACAATTTTTTTTTTAGAGCTGCTGAGATCTGGCTCAGTACATGCAAACTGTCCAAAATGGTCCCGTTCTGCCCAGACACATCACAGACAGCATGTCTGTGCTTTGAGATGATAGGACCACCTGTGCAGCAAACAGAATTGGCCAAACTGGAGGAAATAAGCAACAAACTCTTCTGTCGCATCGGGCGTGAGCTTCCACAGGCATCCAAACAACCTCAGCAAGACAGCAGCTGCCTGACAGAGAGCAAGAGGTGCTGCTCTGCCTTGAAGAGCTCCAGCTGCACAGGGAGATCTTGCAACCCAGCCCAGATGATGGCTTTTGCAACACAGCTGGTTTCATCACATATTGCTCTTGATTTCTGGAGTTTCCCTTTAGTATTTCTGCCTCCTTCAAGGCTGCCCTGTTGCCCCATGATTCTTCATGCCTATCAGCCAAGGGGAGACAAGAATGCTGTATAGGGGAAAACAAAATTCAATCAATCCCAAAATGCCATATAGCATCTGTGACAGAGAGGCCAAAGCATGACAGTGTTTTCAGAGGCCACGTTCCACGGTGCATTTTTACTATAGACCTCAGCAGAGCCCTGTGCTGGAGCACTGAAGCAGGGCACTTCCGAGGCATCTTCATCTTTCCAGTAGCAGAACAAATTCTGCCAACTTGAACCTCTGAGATACGCAGAGGGAGAGAACGTGGAGTCAAGAGGGGATGGCAGAGAAATTTGGTAGGGAGAGAATAGTTCTTGGAGAACCAGTAAGGGCAAGATTAGGAGAAGTTTCCCATCTGTTCCAACAGCCACTGAAGGACGCCTGGGACACATCACAAACCAAGCTCCATCCCAGAATATTTGGCTCACAGGCTGTCTGTGAGCCAGAAAGGCTTTGAACTGCTGCTCCTGGTAACTAAACAAGACTCTGATATTTTCCAGATTGGCCTATGAGGGGCCCCATTTAAACTCTTCATTCACTCCCCGCAACCCTGTTGGCCAAGGGAGTAAAGAGAGGCAAAATCCAAGGAAAGAGCCTCCTAATCCCTGCTCCTTTCCCAGGCAGCCCTTTGTGCTACACCTTCAGCACAGCCAGCCACCGCTTCTGCTGAGCACGGCCCCGCTCGCCGAAGCCAGCCACCTCCGAGGAGCCCTGCAGCCGACGTGCCGATGGGAGAGCAGGAGGGCGAGCAAGTTTCTGTTTGAGGGCGGTGGCCAAGGGGTTTGGGCTTTTTCCTTCTTCAAGCACCACGGGTTCTGCTCTTCACTGGAGAATAAATACCTCATGGTGCTCAGAGTAGGGCAGAGGCACACACCGCTTCCCACCGCGGTGTGTTGCGCAAGGAAATAAAAACAGCCTGGTGCTCTAGATTAATCCGAAAGGAAAGTCGTATGCAGAACTCTCTACTGATGCAAGCCACATGCTCCTGTTCAGTTGTGGGCACAGCTGGGAGCAGGAACTGGCAAGAAGGGGTACAGGGTTTTTTTTTTTTTTCTTCCTCTTGTCCAGAAAGAATGAGGTAATTTTTTCCGGTGTTTCACAATTGGTATGGCCAGATGAGAATGCAGGAATATCCATCCTGGTGTCCCCAAGAACGACACTAATTAAGAACATATTGCCCTCTGCTGCAATTACCCTTCTGCTAAGGAACTACAAAGTTCCAACTGTTATTTCAGCCATGCTTTTTACTTGTGGTTTGGATATGCAAGAGTGGCTTAGGTATGGCACAAGCACCTTGTGCAAGCTGGCAGGGTTTCACCGCACAGTCTATACAAAGCCATATTCTCTTCGGGCAGATTGAGGGCCAGGCAGGGAGCTGCTGTCTCTGCATGTATTTTTGCTGGTCTAGCAGGTTACAATACTTCAGACCTCACGCACAAGACAAGAACCAGCCAAAGTAAAAATAATGCTCATCTCATCACTGGAAGGAATTGGTTTCTAGTACTCTAGCCAGCATGGCCTGCTAGATCACATCAATACCAAAATTAAGAAACAAGAATACAATGAGTTTATTTTAAAGTCAGCCTCTCGCACCTGCTCACAATCTTCAAGACAAATACTTTACAATCAATAAAACCAGGAACGCTCCCTCTCCCTTTCCTAGCACAGAGATGGTCATGCTTCAAGCCCTTTGACACCCTGGGAAAGCATCAACCAGGCACAGCTCAGATACAAACCTCTTATCCCTAGCTTTGGGGTGCAGTTTACACTCAGAAATGGCCAAGTTATCACCAGCAGCTCTCAGCTAACACATGGTGCCTCTGACCGCATCTACTCAGACACCATATCCACTCATGCCAGCAACCCCAGTTTGCAAAGGGAAATATTTAACTTGCCACATACAGTCTTCCCTTAATCCTCCCTATTGCAAAGCTACTGCAGCAGAGGAGATGAGCAACACCACACTGATTATGGAAATTCTTCTGGTTTGACCTCCAAGGCTCAGCGCTTGGACCTCCCTGCCGCTCTCTGCGGCTCCCACACTGGTAGCTCAGCTCAATGCAGAGCTGGACAGTCCCGCACCCGTTTCCTTCCCCTCGGCGAAGGCAGAAAGTTGATATATTAAAGCCTTTCCCAAAACTCTAATTTTGGGCAACGAGTGTCCAACAGTCGCTTGTGAAAGTCACAATGTGGAAGCATCAAGCTCTAGAGAGCTCAAGTTCATTGAAATCATTACACGTTTTTTTAGAGTTAGGCGTTTCCGAATTGCTTCAAGTCAATGCCGAGGCCCGGGGCACAGCAGGACACACAAGAAATCCTGGTCCCAACCTCACCACCCCGCCAGCTCATCCCAGGTGTGTTTGCAGAGGACTGTGCTCACCCACACAGAGGATGTTGAAGCTGAAGCCTTGCGTGACAGACTTGCTGACCAGCTGATCGGGGAGACTGTCGAAGCCGACATGGCCCCCCAGGGAAAGGTTCCTCTTCTCTTCATTCTGGGAGAGAGAAGAAACCAGATTAGCAGAGGTGCACTGAGAAGGCAAGTCAAAGACACGAGAGGAACCACCAAGCCCAAGAAATAACCACCCTCCCAGGCACTGCAGAGCCACCGATGCAAACCCTAACACTGCTCACGAGAGCTTGTGTTTTGGCACGCCACAGCTCAAACCCTCCGACAGCCACCAATGACAGAAAAGAGAGGGAAACATACTGATCTTAATGGGGAATTGGGAGAACCAACCTACCAGGCTACAAAGAAAAGAAAACACTAGCATGAGCTCCAACTACATGCAGCTGGGAGAGATTAGCAAAGGAAAACTCACTATCATGTGTTTTAGCACTCATTTCTCCTTGTCCTCTTTTATTTTCTTTTCTTAAGCCCTCCAGCACTGAATTCAGTTCAACAGGCTCTGCATTTTCCCAAGTACTCGAGCTTTTTCCCTTTGCTATTGCCATAAGCAGCGTGGTTTTATTCGCTCACGCATCCAGGGGTGCCGGTCGCACAGGCAGGGTGAGGAATCCTCTTGCTTTACCATCTGTGACCACACAGTTTTCCACCGTTTCTCTGCTGTTCCTGTTCCTGCCTCCCCCATATGCACTTTGTTCTTCCTTCTGTCTCCTCCCTCCCCCAGAGGAAGACAAAGCTGATCACCTGTAGGAAGCTTTGCTTAGAAACTAAGATAAAAAATATCCGAGGAGACAACAGGTCTATGCCCTGTGTTATACAGAAGGGCAGACCAGGTCAACTATAATTCGAGAAGAGAGGATTCGACAGATGGGCCATTTCTGTTTCCAGTGGTTAAGAACAGCAGAGTTTGGATTTGCACAAATATTTCAACGGATGTTGCCACCTCTCTGCACAACTGAACGACGCTGTCCGAGCCCAGGGGCCAGACCACTGCCCCCGCAGCCTCCCAAGCACTCTCCTCCTTCCATGGAGAAGCAAGGATACGGGATTTCGGAGCACGATGCATTCACCCTCACCGTTTCTTTGGTAAATTACTCTGATTTTCTTAATCACCAGCACACAGTGGAAGATGGGGATGGAAAAAGTGTCTGCCTTTTGCCTGGCTCTGGTTCTTCTGTCTGTCCCTGACAATTCAGACTTGATGTCCCAGCACTAAGACTGCGAGACAAGAGCATACCCTGAGAAGAGCCTAAGCTGGCTGTCAAACTTTGAATTAACTCCAGAGAAAAATAAAAGAAATGACATGATAAGCCTTGCAGATTGCTCTATGCCTGCAATAAGATTGCTAAATAAAACACAAACCTTTGTTCAACTGCATCTCAAGTCAAAGCCTCCTTTAGTTCTGCCTTTGGTAGAACAAATATTCTTAGCTTTGTAAAATAAACCTTTTAAATCACAAGAACAACTTGTGAACAACTGAAGCAGCTCCTATGCCTCACATACAAGCCTTCTGGCTGTCCTGCTTAGCGTTTGGTACCGACTTTCAGAGGATTTCGGCCCAGCACTCTCCCAAGGGACTCCTCGGACAGAAACACAACTGAATTGTAGCTGGGCTCCTGCGATCAATTCTGTTTCATCCCACCAGGATCGATCACGCTCACTAACTAAACGGAAATAGCAATCATTTCAAGTTTTCCTGTGGGAGAGACGGCATCAATTAAGGTTTTAAGGTGGCCGAGAGTTTAGGTGAATTAAAAAGGGCCCCTAAGACAGAGAAACCTCCAAGTTCAACATTCTTCCATTCATCTATCACCACAGCAAGCTGCTAAAGCTTGGACTAACACCTCTGCAGGGACGGACCCCAACTGCTGGACAATTCCCCAGCACACAGGGAGAAAAAGTGAGTCCGTGCTGATCCGGGCAGCCCAATGCTGAACTGCGGATCTGGCATGGGATGATGCAACTGCACCGGGAAGGGGAACTTGGACACACGTGTGCTGGGCGAGGGCTCAGAGTTGTTTAGGTTTGGTTTTCCTCTTAAGGAGGAGACCGTCAGATGGCACAGGAAGCCACTGCGTGCATCAGCAGAGCTTGGGGGGCTTCCTCGAGCTCCCAGCCCCATCCCCTCAGCACCCACTCCTCCTCTCCCCCCCCCGCCCCTCCGCACCACCACCTTACAGAGCTTAAAATGCCCGTTCCCACCACCACGATGCGGTGACAGCCATTCCCACAGAAAGTCACCGAGTTTGATGGTTGCGCTTTGCATCTTTTCATTTTAAATAATAAATAAAAACAAGCAAACAAAAAACACAAACCAGAATCCTAGGATGACATTTTGGATGGGAAATAAATAAAGGCTGCCGACGGCTATGATTAGGCTGAGAGTGCCCGAGGCTGGTAGGAGGGTTCCAGGCAACAGGCAGCACCACTGCTCGGGATTTTAAAATAGGCTCCAGCTTGGCAAGGCTGCATTTTAAAATAGGCTCCAGCTAGGCAAGGCTGCATTGAGAACTCAGTCATGCTTCGGCCGGAGGAAACCCAAATGCGTTCGCACAGGGCTCTCTTTTTCTGTTCTTTTTTTGGCGTTTGGTCGCTGTTCGTTACAGGACAAGAATACACTTACTCAAAACTGCTCACCGTCTCTAAAGCTGCTAAACCAACGAGCCAAACTTCAGTGAAATATTTTTGTCAGTGACCTTGAAATGCACAGTTTCCTTTTATTTCTGTAAGCAGCGATAATAATCTGGTTCAAGTCCAAGACGCTGCTGATACCAAAGCAGAAAAACCATTTGCTGTGCTTGCGGCGCGTTCAGCTGTCAGTCAGCCTCTAAAGGGATTTTGCTATTGTTGCTGTCTTAGGACAAACAACGGCAACAACTGCTGGAAAGTAATAAGACTAAGAAAAGAAAGGGGGGGGCAGGGGTAAAGTTTTCTCATTTTATTCTTTCCCTCCAATCCATCGAGCTTACAAACTTGACAGCCTTGTGAATACAACCAATTTTTCTGCTCGCTTGCGTTGCTTGGTGCGCTGGCCTGCCCTGGAGAGGAACCCACCCACCACCCTGATGAGCAACCACCAGCTCTCCTTCCTGCATCTACCTGCGATCGGTCTGCGAGTCTCGCCCCAAAAGACTAACCCCTCTGGCCAGCTCCTGCTCGCCCAGGCTAGCTCAAGGACAGCTTGACACAGTTCACCTGCTAGTAAAGACAACAAGGTCACACTCAAAATGGAATTCTTTCCAGCAGAAGGAGCCAGCCTGCAACGCTCAGCATAAATAATCAATCCAGAATATAAATGCTGCAATAAATGAGGGCAGCGGTAGCGCAGCAATGTGGGATGGGTCGTTTTGGTTTTGTTTTAAACAAAAGCTAAGCATTTCAGTAGGGCTTTTTCCATGTTTGGTGGCAGTGATGCAAGTGCCGTGCAGGACAGGAGCAGGCAGGTTACGTGGCAGAGCTGGACGGGATCGACCATGGCGAGAGCCAGGCAGAAACACAGCCCTGCCCTTTCCAGTTGCACTGGTCTCGGCGATACTCCCGCCCTCCGCAACGCCCGATGAGAATTAGGTCCCTCCTCTCATGGCCTGGAGAGGCAACTCGCCCGCTTCTTACCAGGCAAGACCCCATCCTGCGGCTGCAAATAACCGCGAGGCGGTCAAGCGTTCCTGTAGCCCATTTGGTCATTTTGCAACATGATAATTAAGAGTTTGTGATGGCTCCGAGTGCCAACTCCCACCATAAACAGCCACTGCAGCCCTGAACATCACTTCTTGGGTCACTAACGACATCCTACAACGGGCAGCTACCAGGGGTTTACTTGGAGCCTCTGAACATGGTCTTTGAAGATCTTCTGTGCCTTGAGCCGATCTTCAGGGCTCGAAGAAGAGAGACGAGGGTAATTTGTATTTTGAATCTGGAATTTGGTGGGAAACAAAAGAGTCATCGGAAGGTCAGAGCAGAATTATTAATCCCAAATCCTTTAAACATTTTCACAGATGCTCTAGCCGGGCTGAGAAGCAGAGTCCGTCAAGGCAACAGGCGCACAAATGGCATCTGGGGGCACAGCCAGGGGAACAACAGCTATCCCGGAGGGAAATCCATTTTTGGCTCTGGTTTGACTACGTCACAGGACCCTTCTCCTGGCAGGCAGCAGAAAGACAGACATGCCCTTGGTAGCACAGACGGCCACACTTAGCTGAGCACCACAAGAACCCAAAAGAAACCTCCAGACATAGCGCGTCAAACCTACTGTAAGGCAGCAGCCACCCCAGCTCCCAGCCACGCTCCGCTGGAGGCCGGGGATGCACGACGGCACGCTGGATCATTCCTGCGGCCACACCAGCACGAAGCTGCCGAGGGGACTCAAAACAGCGTTTCAAACCCCCATCAGCTTCCTAAGCTCATCCACAGCAGGGTCCCACAAACCGTGCCATGCAGCAGGGCTGGGAGGGAGCAGCATCGCCACGGGCACGGGCAGCAATGCCAGGCAGCTGGCCACAAACCACATCCGCAGAAGATGATATGTTATTTGGCCCTTTATTGCGAGCGAGTCAAGAAAAGGCAGAGAAACACAATCAGAGAAACCAAATCCCGATCCCTATAGGAGGGTCAACACAGTATTCACATATTAATTAGGCTCTTCCTAGTAGACAGAGGGATTAAAGAAACCTGTGAGAAGTGGCACAGGCTACGGCATCAACCAGCGTGCCCACGATCCTTCAAGAAATAAAAATCCGATCACAGTTTCTCTTCTTCCAGTCTCTTCATGCTTCACCTCCAAATTAGCATCAGTTTCACTTTGCGTCATTACATTTTTCAGCAACTTCTCCCAGGAAAAGTGGCTTTATCACTGCCTGTGCAACCCACGGGGGACGTCAGCAGCCAGAAGATCAGCTCCACATTCAGCTGTCCCTCAGCAGCACAGTTTTCCTAGCTGGGGCTCCCGGTGCAGAGAGGAGCAGCTCACTCTGCTTTTAGGTGTACTGCCCGTGTTCTCCTTGCTTTCACACAAGGAGCAGCACGAACAGACTGGAACTTGGAGACAAAAGACCATTCTGACCTCAGTTGTTTTAAAAAAAAAAAA